CTGAGAGGAATTGATGAGAGGGCTGTCTGCACATCTTGCTGCATTGACAAGTGCTCCATCCTGTTGCTTTTCATGTACGCCATTATTGAAAATGCTGACTAGTCAGTAACAACAAAGAGCAGCAGTGGCATGGTCAGAGATGGCCAGATAATCATGTACCACTGTCAGCCAAAACAAGTTTAAAGACAGCTCTCCAAACTTCAGCTTCATTGTGTGATCCATCTGTCGCTGTACATATTCCTTTTTCTTTTAATGCCAGCTTTTATGATGAATTGGGAAAATGCATCAAGTATCCAGTTGGTCTTCCAGGTTTGTTGAGAGGGAGTAAAAATCAAACTTGCCGTACTTTTGAGATGTTCTGAATTATGAGGCTGTGGATCGTGTCACTGCCGATGCTAGCGGAAACTTCCCCGGTGAGTCCACTGCCACTGTCTCTTATCAAAGGCCCAGTTTTGACCTGAAACCTTAAAGTTTATCTGTGATTGTCAGAATTGTTACATTCTACCCCTACATTTAAGCATTCAGGTGGCTGAAAATGTCTGGCTCAGCTGGCATATCTTGCAATCAGTAATCACTAGATAGTAACTCTTTATAAGGCAGTTCATGTATTGTTGAGAACTGACATTTTTCTGCAGAGATCATGAGCATAGGAGATGCCCCCCCTTGCCTCCAAACAAAGACCCTGTGATGACAGTCTACCCTTAAACACCAAGGTGCAACAGTGATCCTTGGTTTCCAATGTGACCAGCACATGAAATAGCAAAAAAAAAATTTCAGAGAATACGATTTTACCTAATTCACAACTTTCACGGCCTGCTGTAATGCAGCAGCAAGCTCTAGTGGCATTGTTTTGGCTACAAGGGCTTCACTCGAGGTGATCTGAATGTCAGAACTTTGCTCTTTCATCTTACTGACAAATCCTTTGACTTTCCCCATTGTGGAGACTGCTCCGTCGGTGCATATGCTCCGATACGTGGCTCAGTAAGTTTATTCCCCTCAAGTAGGGATCTGTTACCTGAAATATTTCTTTACCAGTCCAACCTCTTGAATGGACTCGCTGATCTGCAAAGCAAATTTCCCACTGGTAGCTAACTTTTCTTGCAGCACCTCCCCAGCTGACATATCGTCAGATCTCCACATACTCAATACTGGAAGTGACTACACAAGGCAGCACTGCTCCCGAGAACTTGGCAGCATATTACCTGCCTTGCTGTGACACACCGGTTGAAAACCTCTGATCTGTGCACATGTACCCCCAGGTCCGTAGCCCTGGACGCTCTATAGACCAGTACCATTAAATCTACATTGTCTGTCTTATCTGTTCTGTCAAAATGCAACACCACATAGCTGTTTATGTTAAGTTCTACATGCCACATGTCAGCCCACTCTAGGTGTCTTTCGGTATCTTCTGCTTATGGGTGTTGGTATTTTCACTGTCAGCCATGTTTCCAACTTTGGTATCATAAGCAAATTTTACTCTGCATTCTTATTTCCAGGTCCTTTTTATAGATGTACTGATGTGTGTATGCCTATTTTTTTAAAAAAAAGCCTAGTGGTGCTAGCATTGATCGTTGGGAAACTTTCGTTTCTGAATGAAATGGCCATTTACTATGTTTTGCTGTTTTTATCCATTACACTGATTCTTTATCTAAGCAGACAATCATCCTGTTGCATCAGCTACAATTTTTTAACCAACCTTTTTATGTGATACTTTACAAATGCTTTCCTGAAATCCATATAATCAAACGTACATTGTATTCTCTTCACCTCTTGTCATTTTACTAAAACATTCAAATACATTAAGTCAAACAAGATCAGCCATTCACAAATCAAATCTCGCAAAAGAGCGAGTTATTTTCTGATGATTTATTTTTAAAATCTCAGCCATTACTTTGCGTGTCAATTTGTCCGTCCTGTCAAATTGTGCTGCTCAACATGTTATAGAACACAATACAACTTTCTCCAACTTGATAGTGAGAAGAGCAAAGTCATTATTTTGTCATAAACACTTTTGCCATGATTGCAACCTGCCATGCAGCTATTTGCTTGAGGTGAACCAGGTTATAGTGTTCTGTTAAGAGTTGAGCTTGTGTTCCTTATTTCCTATTCATCACTTGGACTACTAATTTTTGGACTAAGATTTTGTTCAGTTGTGTTTTGCTCAGTTCATCTATAATCTCTAAAGCTATGATCTTTAGAATTCCATTTGTAATGGAGTGCGAGAGTAATTTGAGGGGAAATGGATTGTAGTTGGATAGAAGTTTGTCCAGTGTATATTTAAAATTTCCACAAATATATTTGTAAACAATTTTAAAATGCAAATATTGGACCATGCCAACAAAATTCTGGAATCTTGTTGAGAAATTGAGTAAAAAAAATTAAATGTTCCATATTCTTTACTCCATTTTTCAATGGCCAATGCTAGACTTAACAGTCAAGCTGCTATCCAAACCCAAATGCGCATGGAAAGTAAATATGCATTTAAGCTCAAATGTACCTGTTAGAGTTAAGCAACACTTGTGAAATGTGTTTATCTTTCTTGAAAGTGGATGTATTTTTAATCGGTCTAATAGCGTTTGAAGTATCCAGTTGAAGTCAATTAAATCTGTAGTGGATATTGTTGATTATTGTAAGTACCTGCAGTTCGTGACTCCTAAATTGGAGTGGATTAACCTGGATTAACCTTTTTGATCTTTTTCAGTTTTAATGGGTGCCTTTTTTTTTGTTTTAGCAACCTCTCCACGAGCTTCATCAGAGTTAGAACAGGCTAGACCACAAACCAGTGGAGAAGAGGAACTTCAGCTGCAGTTGGCTTTAGCCATGAGTAGAGAAGCAGCGGAACAGGTACACTACTTATGAATAGTTTGACTCCATTTTCCTCGTATGTTACTTATCAAAATCAGATTACGTGATCTGTTTACGCCAGGCAATTGCTTTTGATATCTCTAACATGATATATCAAGTTTGTATATTTTTAAAGCGATACTCTTTTTAAAAAAGAAATCTCTCAAGTTCAAAAGTCTGGAGACTTTACAAAATATATCTGTCTTCTAAAACTTCACAAAACAGAATGATATAGATGAGTTCAGTTGATTAACTTTAAGTCCACTGTACAAAAAAAAAATACACTTGGTGAACACCCTTGCATTATCTCAGGAGAAGATAAACTAACTTTGCTTTTTGAAATGAAATAAGAAAGGTGCTGAGGCTTGGTTTCAGATGATTGCATGTACTACATTAATGCAACGGTGTCCAAAAGAGGGAAAGTTATCAACTTTATCTTTGTTCTGCTCCTCCTCATCTTTTGTAACATTTTCTTTGCGATTCTTGATTTTTATTTTAGATCCTTTTTTGTACTCTCCTTAGTTTCTGGCTGTTACAACTTGGTAAGTTTCCCCTGCTGACTATTAGGACAATGGTTTGGAGGATTACTTGACACTGAGTGTGAAAAATCCCAGCCCAGATGACAGCTAGCTGCACAAGTTACCTTAGTGGGCCAGACTAGATATATCATCAGTACTTTAGAATACTGCAGACCTGCAAAATTTGGGCAATGAGTTGACTGTTGGAATGCTAAACCCCAAGCATTTAATCTTTGAGTAGTGGCCCTAATTCCTAAAAGGTAACTTTGCCCTTCGTCTTTTCACTCTGCACAAGGAGGATAATCAGTAGTTGATTATAACAAACTGGAAAAGATTTGACCTCTCAGTAAATGAAATTTGGTACCAGAAACTCCTCACAAGCAGCATGGTGAGCATCATAATTAAGTTGGAAAGCATTGCATTTTAACCATATCATACAAACATCATTATATGCTGAGAGTTCGATGAGGGGGTTTTGCAGAGCTAAAGCTTTTATCAATCCAACCATTGTAAGCAATATAAAGAAGTTTCTTGAGCCTTAAAACTTTTTTTGTGAGGTCAGTAGCTATACTGTTACTGGACTAATCCAGTGCTTAAAACTAATCTAGGCTAATCCTTAAGAGGATTCAAATCTCATAACATCTCAATTTCTATTCACTTCACTTAAAAGTTATGAAATTAGAAGCTAGTTTTCAATAATGATGATCATGAAGCTATCGCATTGTTATGAAAACCACTTAGTTTACCAATGTCATTTTGGGAAGGAAATCTACCTCTCTTATCTGGTCGGAGCACAAATGAGTTCAAACCCACATAAATGTATTTAGCTTTTAACTGCCCTCTAAAAGACCTAGCAAGGCACTCACTTGTAGCAAACTGTTACAGTATTGTCAAAAGGTAATAAAATAGCACAGAATATCCAACATAAATCTAGGAACAGGAACAATAATGGTACACCACACTTTGTTGACCCTGAAAATTCTTTCTTACCAACATCTGGGGACTTCAACTGAAATTGGAGAGTTGACCCATATACCAATGAAGTAACAACCTGAAATATACTTGTTCAATGCATCATACTTCACATCTAGTTTCCTAGACTCCTCATTGTCATCTCTGGATGTGGCCTACGTCTCTGGCAGAACAGACTCCATAGAGGTAGCAGCTCAGTAGTATTGCTGCTCAGTCCTTTAAAGAATTTATCGCGATATTTTCACTGAGGACAATACCATATCTATCAGTTCACCAGATCTTCTGATCTTTTTGCCTTCCCAAGCATCATTTACTTGCCTTTTCCAGACACTGCACCTGAGAATCTGTCACAAGAGATTTGCATAAGAAACATCACGAAGAACAAGTTTCATAGCGTCATAAGTTGTACATCACAGAAACCGATCCTTAAGTCCAACTCATCCGTGCCGACCAAGTTTCCCAAACGAAACTAGTCCCACTTGCCTGCATTTAGCCCAAACCCCCTCAAACCTTTTCTATTCATGTTCCTGTCCAAATGCCTTTTCAGTGTTGTAACTGTACCCTCATCTACCACTTCCACGTACAAACCACCCTCTGTGGAAAAAGTTGCTCCTCGTGTCTCTTTTAAATCTTTCTCCTCTCACCTTAAAAATATGCCCTCTAGTTTGGAGCTCCCCTACTGTAGGGAAAAAGACCTTTGCTTTCACCTTATCTGTGCCCCTCATGATTTTATAAACTTCCATAAGGTCACTCCTCAACCTCTGGTGTTCCCAGAAAAAAGTGTCCCAGCCCCTCAATTTTAATAATTACTTCCAATAATTGGGCAACCAGAACTGTGCACAATACTCCAAAAGTGGCCTCACCAACATCCTGTGCTACCTCAACATGATGTCCCAACTCCTATGTGCAATGGTCTGAGCAATGAAGGCAAGTGTGATTAAACCCCTTCTTCACCACCCTGTCTTCCTGTGTGATGCAAATTTCAAAAAATTATGTACCTGAACCCCTATGTCTCTTTGTTCGACAAAACGACCTACAGCCTTATCAATAATTGTATAAGTTTTGCCCTTGTTTGTTTTACCAAAATGCAATATTTCACGTTTATCCAAATTAAACTCCACCTGCCACTCTTCAGCCCAGTGGCTCAATTGATCGAGATTCCTTTGTAATCTTAACTAACCTTCTTCACTGTCAACCATACCATCAATTATGGTGCCATCCACAAACTTAGTAACCATGCCTCCTCAGTTCTCATCCAAATTGTTTATATTAATAACAAACAAAAATGGACTTAGCACCGATACCTGCAAAACACTGCTTGTCACAGGCCTTCAGTCCACAAACATCCTCCACCATCATCCTGTCTTCTACTGTCAAGCCAGTTTTTTTAAATCTAATTTGTTTCTGATATGTCCCAAGTATGGAAATTTCAAAACACATTGCTCAGTTTCTAATTTTTTTTTCATTTTTTTTTTCGCCTGAATAGCATCTACTGCCTTGGAATCTTTTATAGTTGTACTGAATGCTAATGTTTCAGAACTGGAATCTGGTCTTATTTGGGTGCCAGCCAATTCAGCTGTCCAATTAGACTTTGCAATCCTTCCATTTCTGTTTTGGAAGTTAGTGCATCTTTTTGTGAAGCACTATTTTGTATAATAGCAATAGGTCTAGCATTTTCCAAACAAGATTGCTGATGAAAGTGCTATTTGATCCATTCTGCCTGATTTCCAATCCAATGTACTTAAAAGCCTCAGAAGCCATGACTTCCAAATTTAAGTTCTGCTTTAAGGCCATTTATGACAATATTTTTAACTTCCCAACTTCTCTCCTTTCCCCCCCCACCAACCCCCAACCACAAAAAAAATCATCTACATGCCTCAAAGATACCTGAAAGCTGGCCTTAATGCCATAAAACATGGCAGGATCTGCTTTTAACCAAAGACAAACCAACTTTAGTAAGAGACCTTACTAAGAAGCACCAAACTAGAGGCATAATTTGGGCCATACACATTTAATTAACTTAGAGTGACCTAACTGCATTTGGTGTCTCTTTTGGAGAATGAAGAAACATATCACTCCTAATCTGACTTCAGTGCAAAAATGCAGCTTTAAGATCAATTGAACTACACTTCCACGGACTTGTTGTTCATGAAGCCAAAGTAATTTCAAAATTGCGTTTCCTGTCAATGCTGAATCTACTTTTGTATCCTGATCCCCAAGTTTTCCTTAAACCTCATGCAACTAAAGCCTTGCTTTAGCCTAAAATGTCTTGTTGGGGATGTCTTTTTGATGCATATCCACCTACCTTATAAGGCTGTTTGTCCCATAGGCACCTCTTTGTACACTCCAAATTTTCTTTGCTTTTAAGATTGTCATTTCTATTTCAAGTTTTCTTTTCATACTGTTAATTATGGCTTGCATCTAGATGCTCTCACCAGTTAGTTAACATTATGTCCTTGTTTTCTGTCATATCACTGATAGCCCGCTTTCTGCTATGAATGCTGCTGGGAAGGAATGCTTTCCTGAGAGATTTTCTCCCTGCTTTTGATGTTTGTTCTAGTAGTGTATGTTTATCTACAAATTTAATGATCGTCAGAATAGAAGTCAGTCCATATCTGATACTTCAGCACAGTCCAAAAATATAAATGTCAGCACGAATAAAGAAGTTGCCATTCAAATTTCTGCAGTCTCACATACAACCTGTTAAATTCCCTTCTGTACTCTGCTAAAGTACTACCTTCAGTCTGTCTGAATTTTTGAAAATCTGACCACACTTCAAATGCAGTTGTTAAATCATCTTTTTGACAAATTTTATCCGTGAACGTTGGCTATCTGTCCAAACCTTCATCTGTGTTAAGACCAGGCTCCAATTCTGAAAAATCCTTTTGCTTCTTGGCACTTGTCTTGCTGTTTCGAAGCAAGTCAAGGCCATTTCTTGCTTCCTGTTTGGTAATTAAGTAAATGAGGCCCACATTGTAACTTAATTCTTACACTGGTCGTAAGGCTCATTTTCAGAAAACAGAGGTGAGTAATTATCCCAAAACTTTATATTTTGACTCAAACATCCTCTGCTACCAATATTATACTCTAAAAGAATTTTGTAATTTTAATTTTTAAAAAAAAAAGTCACACACTTGTGTGAACGTATTATTTCAGTTACTTACACCCATGAAACACTCAACCCATTGACTACTAGCTCCTCATATTTAGACAAACAATTTAAACCCGATTAGCTCTTAATTATCAACAACAGAAACAGGAATTTCTGGAGGAACGCAGCAGGTCTGGCAGCATCTGTGGAGAAAAAGCAGAGTTAATGTTTTGAATCTAGTAACCCTTCCTCAGAACTGATAATAGCTGGGAAAAGGTGTATAGAACATAGAACAGTACAGCACAGCACAGTACAGACCCTTCAGCCCACGATGTTGTGCCGAACTTTTACCCGAATCCTACGTTCTATCTAATCTCCATCCCTACCTTATACTATCATCCATATGCCTATCTAATAGC